TATATATATATATATATATATATACATCAGATCAGTCATATGCATGCATGTGCACACCATATTTCAAATTGTGCAACAAGCGATGCTACTGGTGATGATACTTGCCGAGTATTGATTCATTTGTTTTGTTTCCAGGAAAACATGGGAAGTTGAAGCAATTGGACTAAGGACACGCATAGGAAATGAACAGAAACAGAAACTGATAACGAAATGATTGATTAATCTCGAACAACAATCGAGCAAATCAATTAGTTTTCCATCAGTCGAACGAATCACGAAATTAATGAATGAAAATGCGCGACCGAATCAAGTGCACATCACATGCTGTTCACGTGCGCTTCAGCAGTCAAACTAAAGAATTTAAAATTACTACAGGACTACTTTTGCTGCATGCCAGCGTCTTCCCACAAATTTCCCCCTTTCCAAATGTTCTACTCACTATCAGCTGTCCTTTCCAGTAATCAACGTATGAGTGAATGGCCGATAATTTATTCAGCGATCCATCAGCTAGTTTTGTGCATCGTCGTCTTCTTATGTCAATTCGAAACGAATAACTTAACACTTAGTGAAATGTGATGCGTTTTCTCAGCAATTCTTTGCAGCCGTTAAACACGATCTCGTATCCTCACATATTGTGATCTTTCGGAAATATGATAAGTGATCAACGATCCACCGCATCAACTAAATGCACTGCTGACGGCTGGCCTCAATTGATCAGTCACTCTCTCCATCAATAGTCGATATCACATGATAAGGAACAACAGTAATAAAATTGATCTGATTGACCTAATCGCATCAACCGAACATCTTCCTCATAATTATTCAATAATACTAACAATTACAGCTTGTCTTTCAATGTCAAGGTAAGTGGATGTTTGAAAATTTCTAAGTATTATGATAAACAGAATAACCAAAAAACAAGTACATTTGCGGAACGAGATATAGAAACGAGATATACAATACTACCTAACTGCAACAGTTAACGCGCGATTATTCCATCCAAGCACTCAAACAATTACCAACTCGCACGTTTATCGCGTGTCTCACAAATCTTTTTCTTTTTCAAACCAGAATATATCCGGTTTTTATTCTGTTTCAGTCATTCAATGCACAAGCCCAGCAAGTGCTCACTTAACCATCATCATGTTACTTTCATTGGGTTATCAGCATTGAGAACAATTTATTCAACGGTTATATGAATGAATGGGATAAACGGATACATGAGTAGGATAAATAATAAATATTCATATTATATCCAACAACGAATATAGATAGATATATGATACGCTATTGATTTGTTTATATTTACGGTTTATGTCTAGTAAGTATAATATAATAAGAATAAAGACGGATGGATGACTATTGACGATGTTGGCCTGTGCACATCGCAGCAATGTCAGTGGTCATGTGAGGTACGGCACCGCCTCACTTCGTGGCTTGTGTGCGCTGCGTTTTAATCGCTCGTCGACGTCAAATGCTCACCCTCAAATCGCTCGTCATGACCGTTGTTAAAAGAATCAAACATCACAATGAATAGCGATTATCGCCCGCGCTCACTCACTCATGCGCAATCGGTCGTTCGCTTTGGTGGGTCAGTCAACATGCATAGATAGATGACACTTAAAATGGGTGAATAATCATACGTTAGAAAAAGAAAGCGGAAAACAAGGGCGACGAAAACACAGTAGCACTGAATAATAAGGATACAAGGAAATGAGGAACGAGTGAGGAAATGACTATATAAAAGGAACGAGAATGTAAATATAAAGATTAGTGACAATATAAAAGATTAGTGATTTAAAGAGATTTGTGAAAAGATGGTAAGAGTGATAAAAATCACAATAATATAAAGATAATATAACACAAAACATGAAGGGGAATGAAAGCAGAAAGTATTTTAGAGCATCGAAATGCTTTAGAAGTTTCTCTTTGATCAAGATAAGAAGTTCTTAAACGAACTCATACAACTGTAGCATAGTATTAAAAAGAAGAAATGAAAACGTTTTGAAAACAAATCAACGATTTATACCATAGTTCGTTCAAGCAAACAACACCAACGGATGGTGCCCCATTATTATTAGTGCCTCTACACGTTGTCATCATATGACGGCCATTGCAACGAACACATCAATAATCGCAAACAAGCGCAAAATAAAATTTTTTAATGGTTTATTTGATGATGACAATGCACTTTATTACACATGTGATGGATGGATGGCTGTGAATGATATTTTTTGTCTCGATTAATGCAAGAGTATATATTTACTTGCTAATTTCAAATCATCTAGGTACATATAAGAAGAAGCATATTGAAGTAAGAGAGTGAAATTTTAGTGTAAGAAGCGCTGAATGCTTTCGGAATTTGTATACTGTTTAAAGATACCTGACAATGATGGCATATTTATTCATTCATTTGTTGACTGAATCATTGATGACTGTCACACCACAAAAAAGAATACACTCGTGACGATCTTCACTGCCGTTGTTTTTATGCTTCCGGCATAATTTTTAGAAGGCAACCAAATAACTTTATAATATTCAAAATACTAGCTCTGAAAATTGTACCATTTTGCAAATGAAGCCTTTCGATTAAGAATCAATTGCACATTTCGACGGGTCTCTAAATCGATTTCCTAAAGCTCACCTTTACTCACAATCAGCAACCATACGGCTTCTTTACATCTTTGACTAAAGCACATTCTCTATTATCAAAGGAATAAATGTGTCATTTATTTCTGATGATCCCCAGTTTTGGAAGTATAAG